GAATCCAAAGGAAGGACATCTTCTGCAAGGAGCTCCCGGAATTTTTTAAAAAGTTAGGACTGAACAGCTAGGGCGATTAAGTTGGGGCCGAAGAAGCAGAGTAATTTTGTACCACCAAGAAACAACTTGCGCTCTCCATGTCTCGGATATGGAGAGATCGTGAGGGCATACTTCTTTTTTTATACATGGCGCATATAGCGTTCTTCTCGGTTTACTTCCATTTGGGACAACTGCCATACGGCCTTCTGTCTGACCAAGATATGATTACACCGCAACGAAAACATCCCGCCGAAAGAGCAACGCCGCCACTCTCGAAGAGCGTACGTGGTCACGACCGACCCCCTCCATCTCTAGGATAAGGACTGTACATTCAGGAAACTATAGGGTATTGAGCATATGGGTGGGAACTCCAATGACCACCCACAAACAGGGAGCGTGAAGTGGAAGCGTGGAAGGTCTTTTCTCGATGGGCGAGGAAGTCGTACCACATCGGGTAAGGGACCACGCGCTCCCATCCAAATCAGGGGCGTCTTGCTCTTGGTGGACATTTTGCGAAACTTCCCCTCAAGACTATTCCCTCTGGTGAGACCTCTCCTTTTTCCGCAAAAATCCAAGGCTTCCTCCACCTTCTCTCCAAAGAACTGCCAGGTAGAGGATATATAGATAACTTGAAACAGAACTAATCGAGAAAAGACAGCTACCGAGGAACATTTTTCCAAGGCGGGGGGGGGGCACAAAACATTCAGAATTTAGATCTTTCCCTTCTAAAAGCCCAGACCATGTTGATCTTATCGGCTGAGGCATACTTATCAGTGTGTCTTTTTCAATGACCCCCTTTCTTTTCTGAGACACTAAAGATGCAGAGGAAGGATCAACACCAGGTCTGACTCTGCCTACGTAGTCAGAGTAGACTGTGCATCTGGCAATCTACTCTATCACAACTCTTCATGGAGTCCTATTGTTGTCATGTTGCTTTGCTATGTTAACACCTTGGAATTGCTCGATGCCCTAGAGAACACTTGACATTGTTTTTGTGCTCAACGGATGTGCATTTACAACGTGCAGAAGACCTTTGTGAAAAAACACTCCATATCTTGAGCGACCCCGCCCACTTGCTGTAGCAGTCATTAACTTTGATCCTGACCAGCTCATATCTGCACAGTTTTCGATTTGCTGTTCACTTCATAAACACGAGACTCGCTGGCGTCTGGTCCACTTTTCGATATAGTAATTCTCGGTGTTATTTGGCCTAGAGAGGCATTATGTAATTTCGCTTCGTAACTCTTGCTAGTTCATGTTAACTCTGCTCGACCAGTTCACTACTGTGAAGCCGCGAGAAGATGAAAATTAGCCACTTGGTCACAGGGAATTGCACGCAGGGCCCATCATTAGTTTGGGATACGACTGCCTCCTTTTTAGGGGGTTGGTACGACCCCCTTCCCTGTCCCTCCCCATCGAGCTGTCCAGCGAGGGGATACTAGGAGAAAAATACAACCCTCTCTACCATTCCTTGGAATTTCCCCAACTTCCTGCCTTTTTTCCGCAAGTTCCCAAAAAAGGGGAAGGGAGGATATAACACACACGAATCAGGGAAAACCACGAAGTCAGCAACCTCTCTCAGAGGGCCAGGAGGAGAATACGACCCATCCTTCCGAACAACGAGCAAATAGGGCCCTAGCCCTTTTCAACGTCCCTGAAACAAGAAAAATCAACTGAGAAAAAAATTTGTAAGCCTCACTGCGACGCCCCTCTCCCATCCACCCAATAGGACCCCCCCCACAACTCTCCCCCTCCCTGTTGGGCAATCCCCAACAACGATGTTCCCTGATTGCAGGGCTTGTGAAGGTGGCTTTTACAAGTTTAGCTAAGCATTATTCAGTGCCTCCACCAAGCCTAAGTGTGCCTATTTTCCGACATTACCGTAACAGACAGGTACTCATTTTCCTCTTGATGGGTCACGTCACTAGAGGAAGTTCGCAAAACAGCTCGACAAGGTTTCATCCTTGAGGAGGTCGGCCTCCATCTCACTGTACCTGAGCGCAGTTCGGAATTGGTGGGGGACGAAATTGTGCTCAGTGAAGCGTGCACAGGTCTTTGTGGATTCTTGTAACCACTGCGCCTCAACTGTACCGTTTCGCAGTTTCACAAGGGTGTATAGGTCTCAACTGAGCACGAAATATGTGAGTTACCAAGAATTATCAAAAGGAACTTGCAAAAGTGCAAAATGCCGCATCCGTACCTCTCATCCGTACCTCTCATTGGTGCTACACTCCTCCGAAAATCCAGTATTTGTTCAGAATGGCTCTGCTGATTAAGAATGGCACTGTTGTCAACGAGGACGCGATCTTCAATGCCGATGTTCTCATCAAGGATGGTGTTATTACGTAGGTTCTGCTTGAAGTTTTGTCATTCATTATTATTTACATGAGAAGGGATTGCTGCCTATAGAAGAACTTAGGGACAACCTTACCCTTCAAGCAAATACCCTCGCACCAGGGCGGGGCAAGGGATTTCTAACCCTTGTGGGACTGAACCGGCATTATGCTTGCTGCGGATGCTGGGGAGTGTCAGGTAGAGAGCTGGATTTGGCGCGGCGCCAGTCCGTTTTCCATCACTTATTGAACACATGTTCATTTCATTAGGTGGTGAAGAATGGGTTGCCGCCGCGCCTAACCTAGCCCCCGAACGCCCTAGCATACACAGTGAACAAGACGGTATATACAGCTGCTGCCGCGCCTAGCTGTGTATAGGTCCGTGTGAACTTCTTTTCCAACTTGTGGATGGTATGTGTGACAATGTTTTTTTTCAGGGAAGTAGCTCCTTCAATCAGTGCTGAGGGTAACACTCAAGTGTTGGACGCCACAGGAAAGATGGTGATCCCAGGTGGAATCGATCCTCATACTCACATGCAGCTGCCATTCATGGGCAAAGTAGCTGTGGACGACTTTTACCAGGGCACTCGAGCCGCTCTAGCCGGTGGAACGACAATGGTCGGTCAGCTTTCAGAAATAATTTTTAATTACAATTTTGTTTTTGTTTAGTTTCCAATATATTGTTTTTTTTTCGCGATTTTTGAGGACCCTTGCTATGCTATCTTTAGCTCTTCATTTTAAAGGGAGTGATGCATCAATTAAGCCCTAACGCGTGTCGAGAACTCGAAATCGCTCAACAAAGAGTATCAATGAAGATACCTGTATGCTTCGCCTCCAATTCAGGCGAGCCGCTGGTTACTGTCATCCCCCTAGGCTTGGGGGTGAGCAGCGTAGGTAGGAAATGTGATAGTAGGTATAAAAAGCCGAATAAAAAGGTAGGTTAGGTAAGGTACCAGGCTAGGCCCCTATGTCGCCTACTAACGCCTGCAGGAGAAGCGGTTGTCATTTTTGCGATCTGGGCACCGAGAAACCTGAGCGAAATTTGTAGCCAAGAAATTCGAGGTTCCCGAGGTTCTAATAGATGAACAGTGCCTCTGCTCATTATTAATTGTTAATAAAATATTTATTTCATTCATAATCACTGAGAAATTGCAGTTTTTTTCAGTTCTGAATCTAAATACTTTCGTTTCATATAATCGACTTTGTGATTCCAACAAAAGACAGCACTCCATTAGCCGCTTACAAACAATGGAGGGAGTGGGCCGACCCTAAGGTAAGTTCTACTTTTTGCCCCTTTCGTCAACCGCTCCTTTTCCTTACCGCTTTTTTTGAAATGGTGTCTGAACACGACTTCGTGATTCGAACAGAAAATACAGCATACAGAGCATCTGCCGCTTCTCAGAAATTTCGCAAGATACGACCCCCTCAGGTTCTCCTGGTACGACTCCACTTGTCCATATCCCATCCAACCAGGGCACTTCCTGTCGCTGGCTTAAATGGCGACGTCAGTACGAACCCCTCTCCCCCCAGGGAATGCCTTGGTACGACAGCCTCTCCCCCAACTCCGACGCAAATCTGTACATTTCTCATGCCGATGAGACCGAAAAATACCTCACCTTCATGAGAAACGCACCAGTTTTCAGGAGCCTGAAAAAAGCAAGTGATCAAACAAAAAAAACATAAACTTACTTTGAAGAAGAAGTAGATGTCATAAAAAATCATGTGAACAAACAATCTGAATAAAAAGGAAGACACTGGATGATCCAATCATGTTCCTAGATTCTGCTAGATTTCTCCCATATTTTCCCCAAAAAAAGGGGATGGGGAGGTTTACAGCTACAGATACAGTTTTTATTTCTCTATGAAACGGGAAAGACGAAGAAAGTTGGCAAACGGAAGCATTTTACACGAAAGCATACGACCTGCTCCACCATACTGATCCCCGACCCCGAGGTGATGCACTGCGCCGAGCCTCGGCATATCTCCCTCCACTTTTGGCGACGACTTTTCCCTTGATTGCGTTGAAACGGCAATATTTTAGGTGTGCTGTGATTACGCCTTGTCAATGGCCATAACAAGTTGGAACCCAGATATCGAACGACAAATGGAAGAGGTGGTGAAGCCGGAATACGGTATACTGAGAAATTTTCTCTGTTCTAGGTTAGGTTGTCCGAGAAGTTTTGAGAAAATTTCACACTTTCAATTTGAAGAAGTGTAGCTGGACAATGTTTATTATAAGTATGGATTCCTATCTCGTATTGTTGTTGATAAATGTTAAGTGAGCTGGTCGAAATTCCTCAAAACTTTCCGGACCCCCTAATGCGACATATGAAGAGGTGTATAACGTTTACTAACCTGTGTCTTTATAGGAATCAACTCCTTCAAATTCTTCTTGGCCTATTCGGGTCTATTTATGGTACGCGATGAAGAATTCTATCAAGGTAATAATTCTATTTTAGCTATGAATCGGATATGATTTTTTTAAACTTTCGCCCGATTTTGTACGCAGTTTGCCTTTATCTGCCTCATGTGGGCGATAAATTTCATTTTGTACACAGTTGTTAGTCACGTAAACTAAAAGGCGAGTGAGCAGGCACGGAATGAAGCGCAGTTAATCATAAGACGGCTTTCCTCACCAGCAGTTTCACTTTAAGCCAACAACAGTCGGTGGAAAAGCCAACAGTGGGTCCAATCCACCCCATCCCCCTCGCACGCCCTCTCGTTTGCAGGGATAACGACTGCACATGCTTTCAAAGCTCGAACTACTAGATATAACAGATTAACATATAATCAATGAAAAAAGATAGGGACTGACGGCAGCGACGCGGCCCCTTTCTTCTGAACCTGATCCTCACTCTTTGCTTCGAGAAATAACGTTACCTTGAAGTAAAGCACATTACTCGCCTTGATTTCAGGAATGCTTACCTGCTCTCGACTAGGGGCTTTGGCTCGGGTTCATGCTGAGAACGGTGCCGTTATTGATGAGAAATGTAAAGCACTACTCAATCAGGGTATCACTGGTCCGGAAGGTCATACACAAAGTCGACCAGAAGAGGTCTCTGCATTCTAGAGTTCTTTGTTTTTTCTCAGAAAGCTATTGTACATTCCCTTTTTCTTCCATAATCAGTTTCGGTCTCATCCGCTGCGGATGCCGTTGTAGGACCGGGTTTGGCGCCCGCCCAGTCAGTTTTGC